ATGAGGATGTCTTCTTTGCATTTGACATGCATTTGCAACCACCACCGACCTCCTACTTTGATTCCCTCCCCTGCTCGCGCTCTGCCGCCCTGCAGGCCTCCCTCTACCGACCTCGCACCCATCCCGCTCTGACCAACGTCGTGGCCACCAGCTCCAGTCTCCTGCAGACGGAAGCTTCGCATCTCCGGATGGCCACCTCAGGTCCCCAGCGCGGTCAGCTCCACACCTGTCCTCGTGTGCGCCGTTGTGCTCTCGGCGCCGCACATCCCGTCAGCGTCTCCCATCGGCCGTCAGCAATCCTTCAGCTCTCGGCGACGGGAGCAACCGACGGCGGGGGCGTACTTGGTGACAGTCAGATGGATGGGGATGGCGGCGGTGTGTCCACAGTGTCAGCGGCACGCGAACCCAGCACCACATCCTCCAGGGACGCCACTAGGGGCTTCTCGGGCAGTGTCTCTTCCGGTTTCCAGTCACACTCTCTAAACTCCAGTTTGGAGTCGGCTGCTGTGGCCACAAGCGGGGACGGCAACGGACTCCTCAACGTGTAAGTCGCCTCCATAATCTAGAGCGGGTGTTTCCTGCCTGATATGCATGCACTTTCCGATCCACCATCTTCTAGCTCCTCCTCCTCCTCCTCCTCCTCCTCCTCCTCCTACACTTTACCCCCCTCCACCCACCAACTCGTTTTTTCATGATGTGCGAAGAATTTCCGATCCTTACTCGCCTGCTGGGTTGTTAATGTCCCGTGTTTTGATGGATATTTCCGTCTTCCTTATCCGAGACCACTTTAAGTTTCCACCAGCTGAGACAGAACTCATTTTGTAAGGCATATAAGTGGACAGTTAGCCCTTACGTTTAGTGTATGAAACATAATCAGATGCTGCGTACTGTTTTATCGCACTGCCATCAACGCGTGTGATATGATTATCGCTCCTTCGGATCCATTTGTTTGCAAGGCGGCGAATTCTGAATGTGAGATGTAGTCTTAAACACCAAGCCTCTCCGCCGCCATTGGTGATTACTGCTGGCGGTATTATGTGCTCTGAGAGCACGCGCGAGTTGTGCTGTACCAACACGGTGGACATATATGGGCGGTGGCACGTCCAGGCGCAGGCTCGCGCCGCACCAGCCACTTGCCTCTGGTGGCTGCTTAACTCTGTCAGGTGAGGCTGTGGTAGGTGTGACAAAAGTCCATCATTGTAAACTGATGCACACGTAAGTCACTATCCCTGTGTCCCCCGCCATACTGTGGGGCACATGCTAGAAACGACGCTCTAACTGTCCGTGCTCTGGGCAATGACCTGTGCTGCCAACCGTCTTCTTACCTAATCTTTCCCCCTCTCTCCTGTGACTGTTTTAGCCCCGTTTCTCGGCGTCCGGAGGAGCCAGCGGATGCCCAGTCAGATTGGGTGAGTGAGGCTGCACCGTTTTATTTGTTACTTTTGTCGTTGATGATTGACTGTTGGAAATCCCGATTTAATTGCACTTGTCGCAAACATGTTGAGCTCTCGAGGGGTAGTTTTAAGCCCTGTTTTTGAATACCTCAATTTTGCAGTCCAGATAGTCTCTTGTTTAGACCAAATCTCGCTGTCTCAATGAAGGCCTGCTTTCTGACGTAATTGTTTTTGCTCAATGTAGTCTATTGGTCTCAGTGCCTCCACAACAAGGCCCCAAAGGGTGAGAATTCTACGCTTGTTTTGCATGTTGACGGGCAAGGTTCCTGGTTGATTATTCGGCTAGATCGCAATTGGTGGCCAGGCCCCGTATTTCAGGTGGCTGGGGAGTTTGTTTACTGGGGCTATTTTATGAGGTTCCATAATCACATCTGCCTCATTTGGCTTCTGTTTTACGTTTGAGGTTAGGATTAGGGTACCGGTTAATGGTTTCCGATTTTCAGGTTAGAGTTATGCCTTTAGGCTTAGGTTTTCGGGTTACGGTTAGGGTTTGAGCGTACGATTAGGTTTCAGTATTACAGTCAGGTTTTCCAGTTATGGCTATATCTAAGGGCTACGGTTCCATTTACGATTTCGGTTAGGGTTAGGAGTGCCTGTTAAGGTTAACGGTTAACGTTTAAAATTGAGGTTAGGGTTAGGGTTAAGGTCGCCGTCCGCTTCCCCATTCCTGGCTACCAACTTCGACCTAGCCGATTATTCCTGTTGGGAGTCCACCCAGTCTGGATTTGAAGACTTTCAAATTAGAGTTGATAACCCGCACTTCTTGTTCTCATACTCACCAGTTGTATTTCGCCAAACGCACTGTCGGTAGGAGATAACTTCTTCACTGCTCCAAATACTCATGGACTCACCTGTACCTCGGGCTGATTTAGGATGACCATTGCCTTCAAAGAATTCGCGAGCCACAGTTAACCGCCGGACTGCGCAAAAAAACCGCGGAATTCTGAAGTGTTTGCGGACGGCTGGTGGCGGGTAGCGGTGGAACTGCGAACTCTCTACAGTCCATATTTGGTATTAGCTCAGATCTACCTATTCATTTGTGGACTTCCGGGGAGGCCGTCGAATGTTCAATGAGCTGCATCCCTCTGGAGGGTATATTCGATCTCGTTAGAAGAATTTTGCCAGCATGAAGGCTGCTGTGTAGAGTAGTTGATTTTCCTTCTCGACCGTTACAACCTCTTTGGCAGCCGTGCCGACCTAGTTGGACGACAGGCATGTGACATGACGGATGTACAGTCAAGACCGGTCGGCCTAGGCCTGATTACGGCGTGACTTGTCCGAAAACGTGAAGCACCCTTTTCAGTGATTGGCCAACAGGATGTTCTCTCACCTCTCACCGCAACTATACACATACCCATAAAATGTACACAAGTTACCAAAAGAGATCTAATTGGTCGGAAACCGATCCAGATGCAGGTACTGGTATGGCAACGACAATTCGACCACCGATTTCAACTATGTCCACCGTGTGCTCAACAGCAAGGTGAGAGCAAGGACGGCGACTTGCCCGTAAATTGATTTATAGTGGTAGCAGACTGCCGCAAGTCAAGAAGACCGGAGGCGGGAGAGGCCGCAGGTGTCTGGCACGGCGAGAACCCACACCCCCTGGTCCACAACAGACACTTGGTTGGGATTTTAAACAACAAAAATGGGGGGGGGGCGGCGGGCCAGAAGGGATCTCAATTGGCGCAGCGTGAGCCTCCAACTGGGTCTGCCACCGCATCCCAAATGTTGGCATTTGTCATTGGCACGCATTTCCGAAAAGGCCCGCCGGATTGCGATCTTGCACTTTGTGTTGGTCCAGCACATCTACCGCGTGGTCCGTTTTAGAAGCAAACGGTGAAAAAACTCCCTCTGCTAAATGAAAGGGCAAAAGAAGGCTTGGTAGTGGCCTCGTAGCCAGGTGGCTAGAGCGTTGACCTTGCTTGATGTGGATTCGAATCTCATCAAGATGACCGAGTTTCTCACAGATGGGTCAAAGTAAATTACTCAAAATCTCCCAAAACACCTATTAATTACGTGAGCCTGGTAGTCATTTGGTGGATTCCAGGTGGAGTAATTAGGAAATCCTGCTTGAGCAGTCAGCTTACTGTGCCAGAATTGGTGGATTCCAGACGCTGCAGGTAGGCTGGACGGGTAATTTGGCCCAAAGGCGATTAAACTCACGTCTCCCGGTGGGACCTCGCAGTTCAGGTGGCTAGAGCGTCGGCTGTGCTAAAGCCCTCCCCTGCTGTCGTGAATTCGAATCTGCCCAAGGTCGTCAAGTTTTTCACAGTTGGGTCAATTGGTTAGAAGTGACAATTTGTCTAAGGAAAGCAGAAATTCCAAAATCTCGAACATTCGTATAAAGTGAAATCATTGACGTACATGAAGCTTGTCCATGCAAATAACTGAGTAATAAAAGCAGCAGAAGCACAACAGCGTTTAAACAATCCTTTTACTTCATGTTGACGCAACTGTGAAAAACTCGGCGCCTCGCTGGGATTCGAACCCACGCAGCAAGGGGAAGGCTTTAGTACAGCCAACGTTCTAACCTCTTGAGCTACGGGGCCGCGTCGGACGACGCGGGTTTAAGCACATTTGGGTCAAGTTACCCGCTCAACCTACTGCAACGTCTGGAATCCACCAACTCTGATATAATAATCTGACTGCCGAAGCAGGATTTCCAAATTAATACATCTAGAATCCACCTGATGACTACCAAGCTCATGTAATTCATAGATGTTTTGGCAGATTTTGAATAATTAATTTTGGCGCAACTGTGAAAAACTCGGCGCCTCGGTGGGATTCGAACTCACGACAGCAAGGGGAGGCTTTAGTACAGCCAACGCCGAGACGCCAAGTTTTTCACAGATGTCTCAGTAGGAATTATTCAAAAATCTGCTTAACCATCTGTGGAGTACTTTCGACTGCTATCTGTTGCCTGTTCGCGTTACTCGCACAGAGTCTGTTGAACCTA